CACGCCTTTGGTAGACCCTCCAAAAAATATTCTTTAAAAAAATTCACGACTTTGAAAGGCCTTCATAAAAAATTCTTTAAAAAATCCACGCCTTTGGTAGACCCTCCAAAAAATATTCTTTAAAAAAATTCACGACTTTAAAAGACCTTCATAAAAAAATTCTTTAAAAAATCCACGCCTTTGGTAGGCCCTCCAAAAAATATTCTTTAAAAAAATTCACGACTTTGAAAGGCCTTCATAAAAAATTCTTTAAAAAATCCACGCCTTTGGTAGACTTTCCAAAAAATATTCTGTAAAAAAATCCACGACTTTGAAAGGCCTTCATAAAAAATTCTTAAAAAAATGTTCTTTAACAAATCCACGCCCTTGGTAGGCCCTCGTAAAAACATTTGTTAAAAAATCGACGCCTTTGGTAGGTCCTCAATAAACATTCGTTAAAAAATCGATGCCTTTGGTAGGTCCTCAAAAATATTCTTTAAAAAAAAACACGCGTTTGGGAGGCCCTCGAAAAATTATTCTTTAATTTGGTAGGCCTTCAAAATATGTTGTTTTTAAAAAATCTACGTATTTGATAGGCCCTCAAAATATATTCATAAAAATACATTTTTCGAAAAAATCTACGTTTTTGGTAGCTCTCAAAAATATTTTTAAAACAACATGCCTTTGGTAAGCTTTCCAAAAATATCTTTAAAAGTCCACGCCTTTGGTAGGTTTTCAAAAATATCTTTAAAAGTCCTCGTCTTTAGTAGGCTTTCAAAAATATCTTTAAAAAAAATCCATGCCTTTGGTAGGCCCTCAAAAAATATTAAAAAAATCCACGCCTTTGAAATTTCGATGATTATTAATTTTAATTAAATAATTTGTGTGAAATTTGGACGATAATTTTTGGTATAAAAAACCCCAACGTCATTAATGGCAACGCTGTTTGTTTAACATTTATTTGGTTGTTCGGGGGATCGCCGCCACTGTAAAATAAACATCAAAAGAGAAACAATGTTTACTCTTAAAATGCTCTTTTCCCCAAGTATCGACACTGCTGTGTATCTGTGTGTTGGTTGGTTGGTGGCGTTTATTGGGAGAGCACCATCATGGTATGTTTTGGGCTTCATCTTATCATCTGTTCCCTATGCCGTTGTCTGTTAAACGAACTGCTGTTGCTCTTGTCGTCGTCGTTGTTGATTTCCAATTTTCAGTCAACGGCAATTATTCGATTCAAAAACAACGACCGTTATAACGCGACGGCTGAAAATGCGTTCGTAGTGACAGAAGACCTTTATAATAATTATTACTACATTTTTTCTGTTCGTTTGTTTGTTAATTTTTTTGCAATAATCCGTGCAGATAAAAACAAAAACAAATTCGCAAATGTGTCTATTTTGACGTGCAAAAAAAACCCAGGCAGCAAAAATACAATTTGTTCAATATTCGACAAAATAATTAATAGCAAATAAAAAAGCAAATATAAAAAAAATATTGGAAAAATATAAACAATAATAAAATTATACAACATTCATAAAAATAAATAACCAACTACATATCTACCTTTTGTGATCTCATAAACAATTTTTTAACGAGTGTCGTTATTTTCAGATTAAGGTAGTTTTTTTTTGGAAATTCCTTGGAAATATGACAATACGAAAGTTCAACAATATTTTTGTTTAAAATCTATTCTTAGTTAAAAAGTTTTAAATATATATTTAATGTCCTTCATTACCGGTAATTTTAAACCTCTTAACAAAAAACCGTTTCTTGTTCTTGTTTTTTTTACGGAATTCCGCCAACCATTGACAGGTGTGTGTGTGCTTGGTTCTTACCTTCATCATTCCCAGTTGGTATTGGACATTAAAACGTTTTAAACGGTTTTTATGCAATATCTAGTTGTTGTTGTTATTTTTCTATGGACATATGACGGGGTGTTTTTTTGCAAAAAACTACACATCTGTACAACACTTGGTTGCCATAGAAAATCATAACACCATAAAATGTTCAAGATTTTTAACATAAAAATAGATTAATTACTCAAAGTAGAAGAAAGAAAAAATAAATAAATAATGTGTATGTTGTAATTAAAGGTGTTAATTTTTTTAGTTCTTATTGTTAGTTGCTATTCAGACTTCATATGAAAAAGAGAGGGAGAGATCGAATAGGAAGTGTCTGTGTGAGATAAGGAAAACCTTGTTTTAAATCACTATTGCAATGGTTTACTATTAAATGCAATAGTACTTCCTTAGATTAATTTCGAATGAAAACCAGGAAAAATAGATCGGTTCAAAATGTTAGACTTCATTCAATAATAAATGGTACATCATGAGAATATGAAGATAGTTCCGATTTTAATATCATCCATAAGGGAGAGTGTATATTAAATTTGTCATTTAGTTTGCAACACCTCGAAATATTCAACCATAAAGTAGATATAATCTTAATCAGAATAGAGCTTTGAAATTTTGCATATTGCTCCTAGGATATTTAGTATTGAAAGTGGGATAAATCGGTCCATTTTCCGTATAGCCCCATATTCGGAATTTTGAGAATTATGGAAATGGGTTTCAATCTATATAACTGTAATTTGGTATTTAGAATTCAAAATGGGTTTGAACATGTTCCTACTAAAAATTATTAATATTGGTCTACTTTTAGGGTAGCCACCATATAACGGTTGCGTAGTAAATCTTCCTACAATATTGACCTACATACTTTTTAAGATACCCTTACACCCAAATTTCGATATTTTGATGTATTTAGATACGATTTTCAATTGAATTGACTCGATATTTTTGATTCTCATTGGCCAGAAAATCCCCCTACCAAAAAATATAAATATTAGTTAATTTTTCGGAATATCCCCCAAAAAGCGGTACTCCACATTATTCGGTATTTTGGGAGGTTTTTCATATTTTTTTTTTTTAACAAACTGGCTTAATTTGATATTATTATGTCTAATATACTATATATACCGGTCCACGTCATGGTATAACTCCCATATAATCATACTCCACAATATACGGTTTCAATATTGGTCCACTTTTTAGGATAATACGGTACCCCCCAAATTTCGGTATTTTGGTGTTATAGGCACGGGTTTCAACCGAATTGGCTTCAATTTGTTACTTTAGATTCTCATTGGTTAGAAAATCTACCTAACAAAAAATATCAATATATTTTCGGGGTACCCGTCATTATTCGGTGTTTTGGGTACGTTTTTTAACACTAGATTGCCGAAAGCGGTCATTTTGACCGTTTTTCATTTTCAAGTACAAAAACAATTGTGTATATTATGACACAGCTTTTTTAAATTTGGTGAATTTTTGTACCCATAGAACTACGTTTATTTATCATAATAGATGCTTCCTCCCATCTTTCATTCCCCGTATTCCATTGTGCTATACCTATATTGCCTAAAATCGGTCTCAAACTGAGTCTACTTTTATTATTGTATAAAGTAAATTTCTTATATGACCAGATCAGTACAACAACATCGAAACCCATTTGCTACTCAAGAAACACAAACGAACACACAAATCGGGAAAAATAAATTTTATATTTCCAGTCGATTTCACTCTTAGAGTAAACACGTACTTCGAACATTTTGTCCGCGGTCTTATTTTTCAAAAAGGAAAAATCCAGAGCCGTCCCAACGAAAACAAATAATAACAACGTTTTGTATGATTGTAAATAAAATATTAACAAATAGCTTTAATAAAAATTCTTTCAGTATGAGGTCATTTTGACCGATTTTAGGCAATATAGGTATATACAAAATTCCGGTCTTTCTAGTGTTACCGTATTGACTGTATTTTGAGCTGTGGAGATTCATATTTTTTTACTATAAGGGATGGGTTTTAAAAGAATATTTTTTCAGGGCCTATTATTGGCGTGGGTTTCAGGATTCAGGGATTTAAGTGCCTACTATAGGCGTGGATTAAAAAATATTTATTTTCAGGGCCTACTATAGGCGTGGATTAAAAAAATATATTTATTTTCAAGGCCTAGATTTGAAAAGAGACCCATTCTAAGAAGATAAAATACCTTAGCGTATAATTTCTGTTCTAGAAGCAAAGGGCTACCTAAAAAAAAAAATAAATAAATAATAAATTAAAAATGTTCACAAAATATTATATAATTTTTTTAAAGCATTGAAGGGTATACTTATTGTTGTAATACTATTTTGGGCACCTAATTCATGTTTATTATAATATTTCACTTAATTTCAAGTTTATTTCCATTTTTTTCTGTTTTTTTGAAGAATGTTAATTAATCAGTTATGTTTTTATATTTAAAAGAAACTGATTTTAATTTAATTTATTTTTTGAAGATTTCGTTCTACAAAAAATTCTCTAAACTTAAAATTGGCAAAATATTTTAAGTACGGAAATCAGGTATATCCTCTATGCCTAAATATTTAATTTGCAATGCCAAACATAAACCCAATAGCAATCTACGCAAATTTCAAAACTCTATCCTAATCTCGGGCAGAAAGGCAGGCAAACATATATACATATATATAATTATATGTCCATATAGAAGGTATAAAAAAAATTAAAATACCACTTTTCAATAGATATTTCCTTCTTAAGCTTTGGAAATTTCCGAAAATATTGTTGAACTTTTGCAAAAGCCATGAAAATTGCACACAAAAAATCAGCTGACTTTCTTACTATAAAAAATACATATTTCCCATTTTATCTTTGTAGAAAAATAATACCAATGAAAAACTCATAAATATTAAAACAAAAAACTGAAAACCAATATCAACAATAAAACAAATACAACTGTGCGGTTAAAAACAATACAAAAATGCGATATTAACGAACAAAAACAATACCCAGCTCAGGTGTTGATAAACTTTAAAGAAATTTCTCTAAAAAACAAAACACACAATATATAAAAGTGATATAATAAAAGACTAAAATAAAAAAGTGATAAACGAAAGCAAAAAAAAACCCAAACTAATATTGGAAGATAAAAAAATAGAAAAAAACCCTACGAAATAGTAAACCATGGAATATTTAGAATATGCCATTGAATTGTGGCACTATGTGCCCTATATATTTTATGCCTTTGTCTTCCTCACCCTAATACCCAAATCATTGAGAAGAATCAATGAGTTTGCCAAGACCGATTATGAAGCAAATCGCCATAAATATCATCGTTGTTATGGACCCGAATTGTGCTGTCATGTCTTGGAGGGTGATGAACAACATTTGCCCAAACAAAAGCCACGTAAGGCAGTGACACGTGTCTATCCCAAAAAGCAAGCCAGTGGCGGCAAAAAGGAAGAAAAACCCACAACAGCAGCAGCAGCCACTAACAGCCATGAAGAACCTGCCAATGTCTATAAACGTCAGGTGCACACCCACACAAATGTTAATAAAATTGCCAAAATGTTTGAAAGTGGTGGTGTCCAAAAGAAAATCAATCGTGTTACACCCACAATACTACCCGATTTCCGTAGATGTTCGTTGAATTTTGATGATGATGATCATGATTTGTTTGAGCGGAAAGAGGTGATAAGCACTAAGGTTTTGGAGGATCAGCACAGCACGACTACGCCCAGGAAAAGAGAAAATGTGGTGTTACGACGTTTGTCCAAACTTAGCCAAGAGTTGGAGGAGAATAATGAAAACTCAGCAAATGTTCTTAATCAAATGCCAGGTGGCCACAACGATTGGCACAGTGAAGCCATAAATATTGAAAAATCCCAACGTAGCCGACCGACAGCTTTAAATTTAAGTGATATCAATTCAGCAACACCCTCCACCATGTCACCAAATCACTCCTCCTCCTCACCACAATCTTCACCACATTCATCCAATTCTCCGTTAACATTATCGCCGGTGGAGAAAAATGTACCGATTTTAAATATGAAATCCAGTCTGGAGGATATATTTGCCGCCATAGCCAAGAGTGCAGAAGACTCGGATGGCTTCCTATATCGTGGTTGTAATTCTCTATCACCCGTAACCTCCATCGATGATATTCTGTCACAGCGTCGTTTATCACGGCCCCTATCGGCCTATTCAATAAGTGATCTGCTGAATGATGATCAATCCGCCAATAAAAGTGTCGACGAGGCAGCTTATATGGAGAACTTTTTAAAAGTCTTAAATAAAACATGAAGATCTCTATTTCGGATTAGGTAGTTAGTGAAAATATTGAAATTTATTGTTTCGAGTTTTTAAGTCTTTTAAGAATGAATAGAAACCAGCAGATTATCACGATTCGATTTGTAATAAAAAATGAGCCTAAAAATAATTTCTAAAAAAATTGTTACTTATTTTAGATTTTTCTATAATAATAAATTTGAAATAGCATCCATTTTTATTACCAAGTCGAATCGATATTAAAATATGTAAATTTTGTGCCAAGCCATCATTTCAAGGATTATTATATAGATAAATTGTTGGAGGTCTTGGGTGAAACGATTTATTAAATATAAAATACAGAGAATTTATAAACATATATTCTTTATTTATTTGAAAATGTATTTTTATATATAAAATTATAACAATACAGACATTTCTATTTTTTCTCCACCTGCCTTATATCAATTTAGTGTCTCAAAATTATAGGTTTTTTCAAATTTTAATATTGTACATATATAATATAAAATAATAAAAACGAATATAAAATGCATAGGCAGGACTACCAGGACCCTCATTCCCCCAAACAAACCACCCACCCTTTTTGTATTAAAAAAAAAAAAAAAAAAAAAAACAATAAATATTTATTTGTCTCAAATAATATTCAGAAAATGGTTAAAGTGTTCCTAACACTTTATGCTTTAAATAATTTTATATAAATATTTAAATATTTTTTTTTATTTTGTATAAGAAAACATATTTGAAATTTTTGATTATTTTAGTATATTTTTTTTAAACTTATCGACTAATAATTTTAGTTTTTTATATAATTTGTTAAGTTGTTGTATTTATTTAATAATAAAAGACTAATTAACTTATAAACTAATTTTATTTTATGCATTATATAAAATGTTTTATTTTGCAATATGTATGCCAGTTTTATTATTTTTTATGAAAAAAACCTCATTATTTTTCTTAAGTATAACATTTATTAAGCTAAACTATGGTATTACACTAAGTGTGAATATTTAGTTTCCTTTTTATATAATAAATAACGACCACAAGAATTTGTAAATAATATTTTAATAAATAATAAAAATAAACAAGATAAATTAAAAAAAAATCGAAACAATAAGACACATATTTTTTATTTATTTTTTAATATTTTATTTTGGAAACAAAGGTAAATACATTTTCAATTTCGAAGCATGGAATAAAAAACTATTTATTAGAAAATCTAGCAAAGCTTGGATTGTAAAAAAATGAGTATTACTGCAAAAAAAAATATTATTTCCCGAGGCGAGGATTTATAAAAACAATAATGTTTTTATACTCTTCGCCACACTGTGGAACAGGTTATTATGTCTTTGTGCATATGTTTGTAACAGGCAAAAGGAATCGAGATAAACCCATGGTTCCTTTTGAGAATATGCATAGAATCACTTTCTGAGTCGATATATGCATGTCCGCCCGTCCTTCCTCCGTCTGTTGATGTTAAATTCTAAACAAAGTACTGGTCGCATTTTTAATCCCATTTGGATGAACAGCTCATTTATTTGGCCCAAGGACGAACCCTATTGAAATTTAGAAAAATCGGTTAAGATTTAGATATAGCTCCCATATATATTTTTGCCCGATTTACGGACATTAGTCCCTGAAAATCTTTCGATTGGCACGAATTTTGGCATAGCGTATTGAATTAAGTCTAGAATGATGTGTGCTAAGTTTCGTGAAAATCGGTTCAGATTTAGATATAGCTCTCATATATAGTTTCGGCCGATTTTAGGTAAATGGTGCACCAAAGTCCCTGAAAATCATTCGATTTGTACGAATTTTAGCATAGTTCACTAAATTAAGTCTAGAAAGACGTGTGCTAAGTTTTGTGAAAATTGGTCCAGATTCAGATATAGCTCCCATATATAGTTTTGTCCGATTTTAGGTTAATGGTGCACCAAAGTCCCTGTAAATCTTTCGATTTGCACGAGTTGTGGCAAAGCGTACTGTATTAAGTCTAGAAAGACGTGTGCTAAGTTTTGTGAAAATCGGATCAGATTTAGATATAGCTCCCATATGTAGTTTCGCCGATTTCAGATAAATGGTGCATCAACGCCCTTATATATCTTTCGATACACGTCTATAAAGACGTGTGCTAAGTTTTGTGAAAATCGGTTCAGATTTAGATATAGTTTCGCCTGATTTTAGGTAAATGGAGCACCAAAGTCCCTGCAAATCTTTCGATTTGCACGAAATTTGGAACGGTGTACTCAATTTAGTCTAGAATTGACGTGTGTTAAGTTTCGAAAAAAATCGGTTCAGTACATAGTTTTGTCCGATTTTATGTAAAGTCCCTATATATCTTTTATGACAAAGTCCCTTTATATCTTTCGATATGCGGGCAATTTTGCATAGTGATTTTCGTGCCTTTGAGATGAAAATCTGTCTCTACCATAGCTCGTGTGTTAAATTTCGAGAAAATCGGGTTCGATTTAGATTTAAGTTCATTCAATTTCATGCCAATGTTCCTTCGAGGAACAGGCGACGTCTGTAGAATATACCCAACGTGGTGAAGGGTATCATATAGTCGGTTCAGTCCGACTTTACAACTTTCCTTACTTGTTTTTTTGAAAAATTTCCGTAGATTGAATGTATGTTTTTTGAAGTTTTTTCGTTTGAAAATTGTTATCGTGATATTTTTTTAATACAGCTGGCATTTCTGCAGTGCAAACTTCATATCTATCATAGAAGCAAAGACTCTCCCTCTCTCTATCCACACAAAACATCGAATTTTCCAATTTCAAATTTTTCAATCTCTTTGATGTCTATCAAAAATTAGTTCTATTTAAATTCAACCATATTTGCTATTTTGATGAACAAGGAAAGGTGCCACCCACTAATTGTTTCGTTACGCTTCATTTCATTTTCGTAGTCATATTTATTTATAAGAACAAAACAAATTAAATGGCGAGGGGGAAAAACTTCATTTGTTTGTAAACAAATTCGTACAGACGACGAAATTAACAAATGGATACGTGACACAGACGTCATCATCACTATACCTAATATACCAAAAATCGATAACTGTTATATAAATAATTATTTGACAGGTATCGGGAATCAAAATATTTTGATTTTTTTTTTTATAAATTTGAAAAAATAAAAATTAAAAAAATTAAGAAAATATTTCAAAATAATTTTTTTATCATCAAAGGAATTTTATCTGAGATGTGTTATCAAAATGTTTAAATAATGTAAATGGTTGTAAATTGTAAACTCTAGGTGTACAGGTGTGTATTTTTTAGTCATTCTGGAATGTTGTGGTTGTTGTTTTTATTTCGAAATAAAAAAAACAATAAATTTTTATTGTTCTTTTTTTCTGTGCAAATGTATTTGTAATTATATCTGGGTCGTGATATGAGAAAAAAAAACAAACACTACAAATATTCGCACTCAAAGTTAATGGAATGAAATACGAAGGTGTGTGTAGATGTCACCCATTATTGTCATTAAGAACAAAACAGAACTTTAGCTGTAGATATAGATGAGAGCAAAACAAACAAATTATTTGTTTAAAGCAAATATATATTTTAAATACTATACGGTATATTTTAAATATAGGAATATTCATTGTGTAGTTCTTCCATAATATAATGCCTTTTTGAGGTCTTCTATATATATAGAAGAACTTCTTCTTAAGACCCCCTTCTGTAGATCAACTATAGATAGAAAATCTTTTGTAGATATTCTATAGATAGGCGAACTTCTGTAGATATTCTAAAGATGTTCGACCTTCTGTAGTACTTCTACAGAATTTCGACCTTCTATAGGTACTCAATAGATAAAAGACCTTCTATAGGACTTCAATAGATATAAGACCTTCTATATGCCTTTAATATATAGACGATCTTTTATAGGTCTCCAACAGATAGGAGACCTTCTATAGCTCTTCAATTGATAGAAAACCTTCTGTAGACTTTCCTGTCTCAAGTCTTCTATATTTATATCTACATCTCTTCTATTTATAGATTATAATTGCAGATCTTTATTGGTGGATGGTCTTATATAGCAAGACGATTCTCTTCTCATATTAAAAAAAAAAAACAATATTTCAGACCTTATTCTGCTTTGAAGATTTTCTTTAACTCTCCTCTAGTTAACTTCCTTATTCCTCAAATCGATTTGCCTAGTAGTTGTTAAACTTTAAATAACAATAACATAATTTATTCAATTACAACATTATGCTACTCGTAGGAAGTTTTGCGCATCTACTCATATTATATTAACAACAAGAATAATAAAAAAATAATAAATAAATAAAAAACACAGTTGTGTAATAACAATAAAAATTAATAAATCTCAATTGAGGCAATCAAACACTTTAGCCTATCATCGTGATAAAGTATAGCCGCGGGTTGTCTACCATCAACAATGGATAAGATTTTCCAACCCTCTGTAAATGGAATTAAGAGAATATCTTTTTGTATGTGTTATTGGATCTCATTACTATGCTTATCTTTTTCAACATAGACAAGAAGAGAAGCTATGCTTCGAAGACACATGAATGTGGTCAGTACACCCTAAGCTTGCTAGCTATAATAAAATAAAATATTTTTTATAAAGTCAAAGGTCATTGGCTTTTAATGCACTGAAAATTTCAATTGTTGAGATGATCTCTCACTCTTTGGTTCTCTATTTGTCTGTCTCAGTTATTTTTCGGTCTCTGGGTCAACGAAAAAATTTTCGAAACTTTCAACATCACAACAAAGAAATATGACATCATTCGGAAACGCAATTTGTAATGAAGACAATGTGACACACAAATGGGTGTAGGTCATGAAAATGACCAGTGACATACACAATCATTTTCAAATTGCTATTAGTCAAGCAATTTTTAGTACGATTAGAATTGGAATGAAAGAAAAACAAATGAGGGGTACTCATCATCATTTTCTGGGATTTTCGAAAGCATTGATTTTTGAATTGATTTTTCGACAATTTTTGTAAATAAATAAAAAACCAGAGAGCGGAGCAATATAGTC